TGGCACAGGACAGAGCAGGGTTTAGGGCTGTTGTACATAGGGTTGCTATGAGTCGCAAACGACTCGATGGCACATAACAACAACAACAACATTCTTGAAAGCACTGTATTCAAATTTTGTAAATAAACTAGCATTTTTTAAAAAAATTACAGCGTAGGGAGCTCTGGTGGCCTAGTGGCAAGAAGCTGCACTGCATTCCCAAAAGTGCATGGTACAAATCCACCACATGCTCCACTAGAGAAGGAGGGGCAAGCTCCTCCTGTGCTAGTCGAATCCAATTGATGGTACACCAAATTAAAAATAAATAATTGGAAAAAAAAATCACAGCTTGTATTATGTAACCATTTGGGGTCCACTTTAACTTGGACTAGTGTAACTCCTTCATACAGTAAACTGAAAAGCGCCAAAAACAAGCAAAAAGAGATACATGGGTAAACAATATACAGTGTAAACATACAAGAAAATATTACTAAGCCATAAAAAGAAATAATATCCTGATGCATGCCACAATGTGTATTTTGAAAATGTTAGGTGCCATCAAGTCAAGTGTGACTCATAACACTATAAACAGACCAAGGAACCTGTCCTATCCTGTGCCATCTTTATCATATCCAACACACTTGAGCCCACTGCTGCAGTGACTGTGTTAATCCACCTTGTTGGACGTCTTGCTCTCTTCTATTGACCTTACACCTTTCCAAGGAATAGTTTCTCTTCGCAACATGCCCAAAGTATATGAAATGAAGCTTCACCAGCCTTCCTCCAAGCAGTACTCTAGCTGTACTTTTTCCAAGATATACATGTTTGTTCTTTTGGTAGTCTGTGGGCTATTCAGTACTCTTCTTCCAACACCACAGTTCAAATGTATCAATTATTCTGTCATCCTTATTCATTATCCATATCTCAGATTCATAGAAGGTGATTGAAAAGACTATGGCCTGAATCAGCCACACCTTAGTATTCAAGCTGATATATTCACTGCTCTTAAGTATTCTGGAGAGGTCTCTGACAGCCTTGCGACAAGCCAGACATCTGATCTCCTAACTGCTAGTACCAAAGGTATTGACTGCTTATCCAACGATGAAATCATTGACAGTTTCAATTCTTTCTCCATCTATTATGATGTTCTCTGTTAGCTCCATGGTGAGCATCTTTGTTTTCTTGATGTTGAAATGTAACCCATACTAAAGGCTGTAGTTCTTGATCATCTGCAGCAAGCTTTTCAAGTCCCCCTCACTTTCAGCAAGCAATGTTGTGTCATCTACAGGTTATTGATAAGACTTCCTCTGATCCTGATGCCACATTCCTCATCATAGAGTCCAGCTTCACTAATTATTTTCTCAGCATACAGATTGAACAAGTAGAAAGAATGCATCCCTGAAACACACCCTTCCTGATTTTAAACATGCAGTGTTCTCTGTTCCATTCAGACAACAGCTTCTCAATCTTTTTTTTTAATGATTTTAATGAACATTTACAGAGAAGCTTCTCAATCTTAATATAAATTTCTCATGAGCACAATTAAATGTTCTGGGATTCTTCTCAATTTGAGCCACAGTTTGTTGTGATCCACCAGTCAAAGGCCTCTGTATAGTCAATAAAATACAAATAGATATTGTTCTGGTATTCTCTGCTTTGAGCCAGGATCCATTTGAAATCAGCAATGATATTCCTGGTGTCATGGTCTCTTCTAAACCCCACTTGAACTTCTGGTAGTTCCTTCTCAATATTGTTCTACTTGTTTTTTTCATAACCTTCAGCAGTATTTTGCTTGCATGTGATATTGATATTGTTGAAAACATTCAACAGGTTGAAAACACTAAGTTGATCATGATATGGCAACTTCAAAAGGACAAATACTGTATAGTTTCATTTACAGGAAATAGAACAGGCAAAGTCATAGTCAGAAAGCAGGTAAACAGGTGGCTGTCACTGTCTGATGGGGGAAGGAGGGGAGGAATGAATGCTTAATAAGTACATTGTTTCCTTTGGAGTGACTGAAATGTTTTAAAACCAAAGAGTGCAGATGATTACACAGCACTGGAAATGTATCAAATGCCACTGAATTGTACAATTCAAAATTACTAAAATGATGAATCTTATATAATAAATGAATTTTACTTCTACCTCTCATCTTCAAAAACCCCAATTCAACATAAATTGAGGACTTAAATGTGAAAAGCAAAATAAAACTTTCAGAAGAGAAAAGAGGACTAAATACATGAAAATAGTCAGTTTTTTTATTATGTTATGTTTACTTCAATTTAGAAAAAATTCAAAGAGCTAGTGAGGTGGAAAATTATTTTAGAAGTATAACTGCATCTCTGATAAGTAATTCTGAATACTACCCTATGTCAGGTCATGTGCTGTCATTATGGTGAAAACCTACGTAAACAATGATTACCCTCTTGGGCCTCCACCCTAAGGAAGGTAACAAACACCTTCAAGCCACCAAACCAAACCTGTCGCTGCTACGTAAATTCCAATTCAGAAAAACTCTCCAGGACAGAGCAAATGCTCCACAAAGTTTCCAAGCTTTGATCTTTACAAGTGTCACACAGAGCAGCTGTTAAGTACAAAACTGTCAATATCTCACTTAATAGCCTAGCACTTACTACAGGGCCACCAGGGCTCTCTCAGAGGTATAAATACAAATTCCTTACATAATGAGAATTACAGAATAGACTCTGAGGATCACTGATTAAAAACTTTCACCTGCTCATACTTACTATGTGTGAGGTTTCAAAGTGTGGTACCATTCCTTTTAAAGAACATGGTACTTTTTCTTTTTTTTAATAATTTTAATGAGCATTTACAGAGATTTTGGATTTCCATTCATTCATTGCTCCACTTCTCTCCCCGCCAAGCCCTCCCCCCAGTTCACTCCTCTCTTTCAAAAGTAAAAGAAACACTCCTTCCCTGGTACACAATCCCCCCGCACCCCTCCCACCGCCCCAAGTACATTCCACTATGCAACCTTAATTGTGGACTCTTGTGATAACCATAATACCCTATCATACATGGCTTTTAAGTTATTCACTC